GGGGAATTCTGGGAGTTGACGTCCACTCATCTTAAAGTGGCCAAGTTTGGACAACACTGTCCTAGGCATCCCATATTGGACCAAGTGTGACCACCTTCACTCCTCCCCCACAACTAGGTACTAATGTAAAACAGTTCCTCCAACCTGAGTGGTCCAGAAGATGCCACAGTTGATAAGGGGATTGCTGCCAAAAACACTAATAGGACATTCCCCTCCAAGTCCCAACAACAGTCAACTGCCAGAATGACCAGTGCTGTTTCTGTTCCAAGACCAGGCCCAAATCCTAATGAAATGGATCTAGATAATCTTTCCATCCAACAATGCAGCCTTCTCTCAGAGGCTGAACAAACTGGACCCAAGCTTGAAGAACAAAGCTGTTCTGCTTCCAATGATGGGCCAGTCCAACTCCCCAAATGGAGCAGGAAGGGAATAGCCTCCCACAGAAGAAAAACAAACATGGCCTTTTCCCCATATCCATCTCTCCATCTCTTTGTACCCAAAGCTTAGCCCGTTAGCTTTATCCATCTCCAACATTTTGAACTGAAGTTGGTCCATTGAACATCCTGGCGAGACAGGTGGCACTCATTCTGTCAGGTCCTTGGACGGTAGTTATTGCTGCTGAGTGCATCGCTTATACTTATTTTATTTCTATTTCAAATGGGTCGCCACCCGTGAGCATAAGACAGCACAGAACATGAAATCAAGGTTGGTGCTGTGGCTATATTGCATGGCTGAATCACACCTGAACTAGGGTCTAGCTTGCCAGATGCCCTGTGACTAAAATGGTGAGAGGAAGTGAGAAAGAGGGCTGGTTACATGGTGGTGCACAGCACGGCAAAAGCATCCTGCCGCGGAGAGGCACGCGGCTGAAATGACAGCCAAGATTAAGGCGCTGCTTTTAATGTAAATGTTATGAGTAATTTCAAGACGGGCGTGGGTGGCTTACAAGAGCATCAGGAAAGTGATGGGGCATTTACACAGTTCCAGCTCACCTGGGAAGTTCTGTTACTACCGCCCCAAAACATGGTATAATTAAGTTGGGTGATTTCGCTAACTGAATCTAGATGTTGGGTGAGATCCAGGCTTTTAAAAAAATATTTTTAATTGATTTTTTGGAAATCCCAAAGGAAAATGAAGCCAGTCCTTTTTCCTTTCATTAGATTTTTATCCTCTTAATTTTCAACCGGCTAGTGGAGTACATACCTAATGCCCCCTCTCCTATTTTCCCCACAACAGCAACCCTGTCAGGTGGGTTGGGCTGAGAGGGACCCAGCCGGCTTTCAGGAAAAGGAGGCTTAAAACTCACAGTCTCCTGGTTTCTAGCCCAGCACCTTCGCCACGACACCAAACAGCATCTCTGATGAATACAATTTACACAATACAATGCAAGAGCTGTGAATACAATTCAAACAAAAGGTAACAACTTAAATAACAGTAACATGCGTATTAAAACAAAATATTGGATTATTTCGTTTTGCTACAATCTAGTTACAATGACCATGCGCGCGTGCATACCTTTGTGTGTGTTGCACATTGCTACAACTGTAAAATTGTAACCAATTAAATTTTGGCAACACAAGATGGCTTTGCCTTTCCAACCAGTTCAGAAGCTGAAAGCCGACATCATTTTTTGACTCAGCCTTTAATCCCTGATACACTCCCGTCCTTCCAAGACATTGTGGGAGAAGAGCCGCTGTAAGTCTAGGTTGGCCAAAAAATCAGGAATCTCATAGCACCTTTTCTGACGAACGAAGTTTATTAAAAGGCAGAAGCTTTCATGAACAGAAAGGGTGCTACCAGATTCCTGATCGTAGTGCCCTTCCACGAATACATAATCTTTTTAACAACTGTCCAAACGTAATACATCCAGAGCCCTTTACAAAAAGAGCAATTCCAGATTTCTAGAACATAATTTCACAGCACACTGACTTCTTTCAACTTAGATTTCTCCCAAAATCCACCACAGCAATAATATCCAACCAACAAAGAACTTATCCAAGAATATGACAAATGGACCTTTAATTTTATTGCATCTCCAACATAAGAAAGATGGTAACTAAAAAGAAATGTTTTGTTTAATTGACTTTGTTTCTAGATCATAAGAAACATATTTAAGGTTTCTTAAGACCGGAAACTATTAACACAGAAAACTCCAGTTCTCTCTATTTCTTATACTCTGGGTGTGCATGTGTGCGCACACGGACATGTGCGTATCCCACATTTTTGTCAAGATTTTAATTTGCCGTAATAATGAATTGTTCGTTCACCATCTTCTCTAGAGTTTTAAAAACCACAGGGTTTTCATTTTTTTAAAAAATACAATTCGATTGAAGAAATGATTAACAAGATAAAAACAATACAAATAGTAGAAAAGAGACAAAACAAGGAAGAATAGTGAATTGGGAAGAAAGAAAATTGAAAAAGAAATAGAAAAGAAAAATGTATGGGTTAAACCCAGGCTGACTCGTCTTTGAAATAGGCCCATCCCGTTGTAATATCTGTAGCCTCCTTAGGGATGGCAGGGTTGAGGAGCATCTGAGGTCATCCTGGTGCTTCTGAACTCCCACTTCCCACTGGCCAGCTTAGTCAATGGTGTGGGTTGCTGAGAGTTGTAATCCAACCACAGGTTCTGCTTCCTCCCTATCTTAGGAATCTGATTGATTCAGTTTTATTCTTCCTGGGCAGTGATGGAACAGCTGTTGTCTCCCGACACCAGCTTCAACAGATCTCTGGTGAATGTAGTTTCTTTGCCGTTGGCAGACCTTGATTTCCCAGGTGATAAGGCGCACCTCCAGTGAGAGGTGGAATATGGATGAGCATTGTTCACATCTGAAGGTGTGCTGCGGCTTGTCATGCCCATGAGTTGTTGGGTTGTTTCATCGAACACTTTATCCCTGCACAAACATACTTTGCATTTTGATTGTTATGTTACCTGAGGAATACTGTTACTTTTCACACTAGTAGGGTCCTATCATTTTAGACCAACGTTTCCCAACCTTAGCAACTTTAAGACGCTGGCTGGGGAATTCTGGGAGTTGAAGTCCACGCGTCTTAAAGTTGCTAAGGTTGGGAAACGTTGGTCTAAAATGATAGGACCCTACTAGTGTGAAAAGTAACAGTATTCCTCAGGTAACAAAGAAAAATGTATGGGTTAAACCCAGGCTGACTCGTCTTTGAAATAGGCCCATCCCGTTGTAATATCTGTAGCCTGATATAATGTGGAGGTCTAATTCATACATTAATTTTTATGCCTTAGAAATAGCTCTTATGTTTATTGTACATGCTGGTACTGTCTAAAACAGTGCTTCTCACCTTAGCAACTTTAAGACGCTGGCTGGGGAATTCTGGGAGTTGAAGTCCACGCGTCTTAAAGTTGCTAAGGTGAGAAGCACTGTTTTAGACAGTACCAGCATGTACAATAAACATAAGAGCTATTTCTAAGGCATAAAAATT